TCTGGGGATTATGCTAACTGCAGTTTGAAATTATTAGCTGAACCCAGATGCTCCTTTTCCCCCAGTGTTCTGGATGTCCCTGAACTGGCAACAGAAAAATGAGGTGTCAGCAGCTCTTTTGCTTGTTTGTTTCCTTACTTGCTGCCCTAAAAATCTGTGAGCTTTAAATAAGCAGGGAATAATATCTGCCAACTGTGCAGAGTGGAGAAAATAATGTCTTGCTGAAGAAAATCGCGTGATTCTTTGAAGACAATTCTTTGTAACTGTTTTCCTTGCTTTGAAGCAGACTATAATTTTCCTCCATCTGTGCCATTTTTGGGTGCATTTGTTTTGCATTGGCATGACAGGCAGGAGCTCACCCTCTTCCACCCGCTTGTCCGTGGCAGGTTGGACACTTGCTGGGGGTGCAGGATGAAGTCAATGGGAAACCTCTTTACGGAAACTACCAGTGATAGCTCCTCCAATGTTGTGCTGCCTGTCTCCTTGAGGGCCACAATATCCCAGTCAGGTTTTTTGTTGAGTTGGGATTATTTTGTTTTTCCTACCATGTTCTTCTGGATACCTGTACCATAAGCCTTAGTCTGCCATCAGATTTGGTCATGTGTTTTCCCAGTGAAGTCAAGCAAATAGTGTGTAGTTTCTGTGCTGCTCCATGGAGTGCTTTCTGCACATGTCTGAGCTGGTTTTAATCCAAAGAAATCAGGTGCTTCTGCCGGTGCAAGGGGAGCAGGGGGCTTTACCACGGCTTTACACAGCTTTAGAGGTGCAGGTTTCTCCACAGACAGTTATGACTCTGTAAGCTGAATAATCTCGGTATCACCTCCCACGCTGTGCAGGCAGATTTCTAAACAGGAACAAAAATGATTTTGTAATGGAAAATTGAAGTACTCTGTGACTGCAGTGTCACAGAGTAGCATTTTAGTGTAACTTGTTTTCTTCAAGATCTTATGGGTGTGGGGTTTTTTGTTGTTGTTGTTGGTTTGTGGTTGTTTTGGTTTTTTTGACTGGAATAGTTTGACAAGTCTGATACTAAACTGTGGGTTATTTTGATCAAATGTAACACACGATTCAGACAAAAATCCTGCACCCCTTCTCTGATGAATGAAAAATCAGCAGTGTTAGGATGAGCGTAAGAGAAGGACAAGCATACAAAAACTTAGCAAACACCCTTAAAACCATCTGTGGTTCAGGGGCTTCCTGAACCAGATGTAATTTCAGTTTGTGTAGTAACCCTTATAGTATTCCTTCTCTCTGTCTGTCTGTCCCCAGGCTTCCCTTGGACGCCCATCACCTTCTAGCACCCACCGCATGCTGAGGCAAAGATTCCCACAGCAGACTGTTGCCTTGGCTTCAAAGCTGCCACATTAAGTTTCACTTGATGCCCTTTTTTTTCTTACAGGGGAAGGCAGAGTGAGCAGTAGCTGCCCACTGGCTGTCTCCATGCCCCCACTCATGATTTTACAGATCTCTATTTTGTCCTCCCAACACCTCTCTCTCTTCCAAGTGGATGGAGTCTTACTGAGTATCTGATGTATTTGTTTTTCAGCAATAGGAAAGTGGCACTGGCCACCTTTATTGCCAAGAAGCAATTGCTTCCTTTCCAAAATCAAGCTTCTTGGAAAATGAAATAAATTTATTTTTCCATGTTGCAAATCCACCTGTGAATGTCTGAGTGCAAATCTCATTTTTCAATGAACAGATTTCAGAGTGTGAGTAACCTTGCCATTTGACCTATGTTCTTTTCCCATCATTTGGGTCTGTGAGTAAAAAAATCAAGTACTTTCACTTTCCCATTTGCCTAGTATTTTTGGTGAAGGGAGGGATGTAAGGTTTAAATCTTATTTTACTTATGAATATCCCAAATACTCAAAGTGTCCTGAGTGTACCTCCCAAATGGTACTCCTCTACCATTTTGGAAAGGTAACCATCCATGATGATTATCTATATTCTTACAAAAGCAGCACACCTCAGATAGATAGATACAAATCTTTTCTTTTAAACCTACCACATTCACAGTAAAACTGGCTTTGGTACCTGTTTTCTCCACCTTTTCGACAGGCATACTTGGAAAAAAGGTAGACAAACAGAGTAATGAGGAACATTTACTGGCTTCAAAGTAGAAAGTGCCTTAACAAATGCTCAGGTGTAAGCACGTGCTTTACTTCACCATGTTTTCAGTAAAGTCCTGAATCAGGACCCTGCTTAAGTGGGGGCTGGTTTCATCTACTGAATGTCTAAAATCCTTGACATGCTGATTTTTTCTACATTCTACATTCTTCACATTTTTTCAGAACACACCCATATAAACCAGGAACACATATGGTCACAACCTTCCATGACTCAGAAAAACCTAAATTTAATGTGATTTAGTGACCTGAAGGTGAAAAGTCCTGATAGCTAATTACCAAGGCTGCAATTCACACAATCTTCAGACAAAAAAACCTACCTTTGCTGTTATACTCCTCAGCCATAGCTGTACTGTGGTACAAAATCAGAAGGTAGAGGCGTGCAGTCAGGCTGACTGAAAGCCAGTGAAATGGAAATGTGAATAATATTGCAATTTAACTCCACAGAAGCCCACTAGTTAGTAAATAGTTCGAGTATTTTAGTGCCTGCTGTGTTGCTGCCTACAGGGAAAATACTCTAAGTGCTTTCCCTTTCTCACAAAGAAAAGAAGTTTCCATCTATGTTTTATAAGGCTGTCTTGTCACATCCATTATACATCATGACACAAGCAGCCAGAGGAGGTACTGTGGTGATTTCCATCATGTGTTTTAGTGAGAAGGTTTTTGTGAAGGGTAGAATTCATATATATATAAACCCCCATATGTAAGTATATAGACACATATAAATGTAGGTCAGTTAACTGTGAAGATGTAGGTGTCTTATGCTGGCCTATGGAGTGTCAGATGTGGGGTGTTAATGCCTACATATATGAAATCCAAACATTCTATCATCTGGCTAGCTTGGCACAAACAGGGCAGAATTACCCTTGTTCCGAGAATATTAGGCCATTAACTGGAACAGCTTTATTCCAGTCCATGGCTTGGCTAGCTATGTGAGGAAATAGCAAAGCACAAATCCTGGTCTCCAAAGTGCGCCATTAATATCACAGAATGAAGAAAATGGCAAGAGAGATCCCAACAGGGGTCTTTTAACCCCTCCAATACCCTGTTCCATTCAAAAATGTGAACAGGAAATGGGGATTGGAGGAGTGATAGGGGGATGATCCACAGACTATCAATTTTACATAAGGAAAGATTTTTAAAGGTGCATGCATAAATTTTGTATGCTTGTGTATGCACAAATGCAAACTATCTTCTGCATGCACAGCGCAGTGAGATGTCAAGTTTTCAGCTGAAGACAGGCACCATTTGGGACATTTTAGTTATCCAAAAAGCCAATTTTGCTATTCTGAAACAACTTCAGCACAATATTTTTGTTCAGCAGTAATATCCTTACATACTTCAGACAGTGGGGAGTGTGTGTGTAGATGTAGATAAACACAAACAGTCAGCATGTAAGAGTGTACGGTGTATCACAGAACTGCTTGACATATGCATCATTTGACTATTTTGCCTCTTCTGGGTTCATTACTCCAGCCCTCCCATCACTGTTCTTATGTCTCACTCTTCAGCAGAAGTGGTCCAGACAGTTATATAGCTCCATGTTTTCCTTTGTTTTGAGTGAGCCTGGCAGGAAAAAAAAGTTTCCTGATCTTCCTTGTAAATGTAATGCCTTCACTCAAAATGCCCTGGTTTGAGGTCCCATATAAACACAATTATTTTCTGCATAGGCATCATCTTATCACATGCCCCTTGAGGGTGAGGCATGAAGGTTTGAAATCCCTGGACAGCAGAGAATTCCCAGAGCATCAGCAGGACACCTAGAAATGAGACAGAAAAATTACTTCGGGGACTTAAGAAATCCCCAAATGTCTTCAAGCCCAACCTTACAGCTACTGAAATATTTAAATAACAAAAACATGCCTTCACAGGTAGGGAATAAAAACTGTTGTTCCCCCAAAAAACTGAGGCTGGTACGCTTATTTGACTGCCCCCATTTACTACTCAGTATTTCTGTCTTGGCTGCAAAATCTAAAATGAGAAAAGACCTCCGGGAGAGGGAGCCTGATCTGGGCTAGGGGTGGGTGAGGAGAAACGCTCCCCACAGGGTGCAGAAGACTGACAGAAGGCAAACAGTTGTAAGAGGAAGGTGATGCAAGGGAGAAAAGCAGGTCATTCTCCTCCTGGAACGCCTGCTGAAGGGAGCAGCCTGGGCACAGATGGGTGGTGGTGTTCATGAACATGACCATGCAGCCTCTCAGCTGTAGAAATGACCATGATGTCCTTGGTGCCTCTTGGTCAGCCCAGCTCCTGGGAGCCAGTAAGGGCCAGCTGCTAGTGTGTGCTGGTGGCTTGAATTTTAAACAAAGCCAGCTGGGGGTTATCTGTCCTATTAGCTTTGCAGGTAATTGCCATGCAATCTGGCTCAAACACCTTCTCCCCATTGAGCTCAGGGAAAGCCTTACCACCAACCTTGCTGGGGAAAAAGACGGTCTGCAACCCAGCTCCCTTCCTCCGTGATGCCACCCACTGCTTCTGGGTTGCCTTACTGTCACACAATTGCACCAAGCGATCCATGTTTTTCGCCCAGTGTCTCAAATGCAAAAGCACATCTTTGTCCCTTTAACTTCTCTCTCAGCTGTTATGCCTGTTTTCTCCCCTCCTCTGGGACTGTGCACTCTGTTGCTGCTCCGGCTGCCGGGAACAAGCGAGGAGAATTTCTCCTGCTGGCGAGCGACTGGCTAGTCTGGGGCTGGCGTCTTCCCAGGACGCTGCTGTTTGCATACCAGCAGGCAGAAGAGCAGGTGAAATGGGACTGGTGACATCTGTACAGATGCGTTTGACTGCTTACATGCTCTTACGAATCCGCTACCCTTAAAGCCTCCGTTTCTCTGACGAGATCTCTCTCTCTCTCTCTCAAATTATTTTTCCAAGGAGAAAAGGAAAAGGCAGACAGAAATAGAAGGCAAGAGACAACAGCTTGAGGACCAGATACTTCAGCTGCAGCATTTCAAGGTAAGGGACTGATGCCAAAAATTATGGATTGACTAAAATCTGTTCATTATTAGACATGCAGATCACACGTCTGAAAGCTGGGAAGAGCCCACTCCGACATGAAGCAGCTTTCATTGCCGGAGCCTATCTCTTGCAGTGATCGTGTCCTGCCTGCTTTTCATTCTGTGTGTTTCATACACAGGACCATGTTGCAGAAACAGCTTAGGAGCACGGAGCCGGGAGGGTGTGAGTGCAGGCAGCATGGCAGTGCTGTTATTATTAAACACTGTTATTTATTATACATAATGATAAGACACCAATCACTGTGGATTGGGTGTGAACTGCATGGCTTCGGTGAGCACTTTCTGCCTGCAGAGCTGTGTTGGATTTTTCTGGTGCCTGTCATTAGGGTTTTTTTGTGTGTGTGTGTGTGTTGCAGAAGGGGCGTTTGTTAGCATGCATGTGTGTGTGTAAAGCTTTAATTGTAGAGTGAAGTTATTATATGTAGCATAATAAAATGGGCATATATGCATACGCAGTGAGGGTGTTGATGCATATGTGCGTGTCTACATGGAGAGGCGCCTTGATATTTAACAGGGTGCCGAGCAGCCCCAGTCCCTGTTGGACTCCATGACAGCTGCAGATATCATCATTTGAAAGCTATCCTGGTTATTTCTATCATTTATCCTTCCTGTCAGTAGCAGTTTGTCTTTACATTTGCACATAGCAAAGCGAAGAACAAAAAAGTACATGTGATCTTTGTGAAACCAGTGCACATTTGTGGGTCACATCTCATTAGATTGGTTCAGTAGGGGAGCCTGAGGAATTTCAGTGATCAAAATATCTAAGATGATCAGGACTGGACGGTTTATCCTTGCAGCAAGTGAGCTGGGCTGTGTTTTTAAAAATAAGGTATTTAGGTTGTTTGTGCAATAGTATGTGTGTGTGTGAACAGTGTGCTGGTGTGGGGAGATGGTGCGCAAAATATCTCCTCTGCCCACACATGCACTTGAAGACCAGACTTCAAGTTATGCTACAGACAGGATCCTTCTCCTGCCTCTCCAAGCCCCTGCCATCACGTTCTGTAAACCATTCCTCATTTTCTGGTAAACATGATGCAGTTAAGCCCAAGTAATTGATTGCAGCCTACACAAATGCTCCATCAGTTTCACCATAAATCTGTGGATGTCACACATAGTCTTTGGTGTTATCAGTAAATGATGTGATTGCATTTCTGTGGGGCAATGGGAGTTGCCATTTTGTTCAGACTGCCATTGACTACAGGCAAGGGAGAATTTCTTCTGATGACAGCAAGTTGATGCAGCAGGGCAGTAAGATGCCTTTCCAGTGCGTCCATGATGCTTGCTTTTTTTCTTTTTGCTGCAAAACTGAGGACTTCCTTTGTCATGTTAACTGTTTCCAAGCTAACTGAATTACGCTGTTTCATGAAATTCTATAAGCAGAGCCTTTTGGAAAGCCAGTTCTGGAAATTCTCTACTTCATCTGATTTATTTTGATATAGCTGTTGCTAAACTGAATTTATTATCATCCACAGGGAAAAGTAAAACCTCTCAAGGTGGTACAGTAGGGTCAGCCCCTTGGCTGGTGTGAGCTGGCACTGACTTCAGCCCTGCTGTGCTGATTGCCAGTAGCAGAGATTCAGTCTTGCTGCACGGATTTCTTGAGTGACACACATGAAAATTAACTATTTCCCTTTATTATTTAGCTCACAGCCTGGAGCAAGAGCAGTAATCATACAGGAAGCTAAGGGGAGATCAGGGCACAGAAATTTAAAATGGCAGCTTTCTCAGCTAAAAGCACAGCCAGTCTGTAATGCTGATGCAAGGATGAGTATGAAGGTATGATAAGAGCTTCTCTACCTCGCCATTCAGTGACATCACTTGTCATCAGACGAGAAGTGCGTTGATTTTACTGGAGCAGTCATGGTGACTGCTGCTCCAGGAGCTGCCTGTACCGCCTCACTGTACCACCAAACAACTCTCTGCTGGGAGACCTAGATGAGGTAATAGCAGAGGTCTATCTGGGATTGCAGAGTTCATCCTCATTACTACTAGGCCCACCCCAAACAGAGGAAGGCCCCAGGCTCCAAAGAAAAAAGTAAAAAAAAAAAATAGAGGCACTGACTGGTGGTAGTATTTGCCTTTCTCTGTGGAGACAGGCCAAGCAAAGTGCATTTTCTTTTCATGCTTTGTTCAGTGTTCTCTTTGCTTAGTGGGGTGCTGACCGAAATGCTATTTGGCCTTCCAGGGTGCTTGGTTCATGTGAAAACTGTGTATCCTCCCCTCACCTTCCCAGGGCTCTCCCTCATCTTATCCTTGTTGCCCTGAGCCTCTGCAAGGCAGGGACTCCAAGTCTGCAATGAATATAGTCCCCCAGTCTGATATGTCTCCCCAGTCTGGCTTACACAGCCCAGAATAAGTGCATCCATTTTCCTTTGGAAGTGCTAGGTAGAACATGGTTCATTTCGTGAAATATGTGGATTTCAACACATTTCTGCGCAAGGCATAAATCGAGGTCAAAAAGACCAGTCATGCCTAGGAAGCCCATGTATTTACTCAAAATGCTGTGAGGTTGTTGCTGTCAGTGTGGAGTGTAAGGATTTCATACCAGTGTTCATTAAAATCTGCTGTGGAGAAACCTTTGAAAATAATATCTGGGTTAATCCTGTATCTGCAGTATCTGGGTTGATCCCACAAGCGTAACAGCTTGAGTTCACCCAAAGACATTCATGCCAGGATTCAATGGGTTTGCTTCATTTTTGTGCAATGCCAGAGTAATTTTCTTTTTAAAATACACTGTGTAAAATACCATGTTTGGTTACCTAATAAAGGTTCTGGAAGCTACAGGGGTTCTGTTAATTTCAGACAATTTTATGCTCATAGGAAAAATATCTAATAGAAATAGTTTATGGCAATTGTTTATGCTGGATTACCTACAGTTTTCAAGTTGCTGATGCCAATTAGACCCCTGGCAAAATGACTTAACTCTACTACCAGTTCATTCATTTTTCCCTTGTAACTTACCTGGCTGAAAATAAGGGAACGGTGGCCACTGCCCCATTGTTCTAGGCAGAACAACCCAGCTGGAGTTAGTAAATGTCAGCACTGAATGTGGACAAGGATTTGACAACACATTTTGCAAAGGCTTCTGAGAATGAGGCCAATGGTTTTATGGCTGAGGACACCAGGACATGGCTCAGCTATTAATGGTCTGTGTAAGTTTCTGAGTTAATCAAGTGAAACCCTCCAGGTGTGAAAGTCTGGAGTAGGAGAGAGTTTAGAGTAGTGTAGGCTCTAAAAACTTAATTCCGTTGTTGCTGACAGTGAAAGCCTTATCACCTCTTAGAATCATCGAACCATAAAATGGTTTGGGTTGGGAGGGACCTTAAAGATCATCTAGTTCCAACCCCCCTGCCATGGGCAGGGACACCTTCCACTAGACCAGGTTGCTTAAAGCCCCATCCAATCTGGCCTTGACTCTTCTGTGAATCACTGGAAAGTAGGGATGTTGATGGGCACAGAGCATGCATGTGGTACTTCAGGGCCGTTGGGGCACTCAGTTGAAGGCAGGAGATGTATTTGTCTACATTACAATCAGATGCTCCACTGGAAAGGCCCTTGGTGTGGGAAAAGGTATAAAGGTGCTTTGAAGCCCCATTTTTTGAGACTGAACTTGCTGGTTTGCTCTAATAAGAGGCAATTTACAACAGCTCCCCTTACCTCCCACCTACTTTAATGCTTAATATCAAAATAATCCTTCTTTCATATAACACAAGATGTGTTGTGTTTTTTAACAGTAGATAGAGTTTAAACTTCATGCTTTGGCAGTTCTTTGGCCATATGCCTACAAATGGGGCTTGCCACATCTGTGGGAACTGAAGGTGTCACCAGCTTCTATAGTGTGAAACCAGACAAGTGGGCAAAATTCACCTTACACAAATACACTGTCTGCAGTATCCATCAACATCATGTGGTTTCTTGAGGAAGACAATAATTGATTTTGGTTGATTAGTTGCACCAGAGATACAAGCTACAAACAACAGCTGCTTTTAAGAACTTGTTCAGCTAGGCAGTGATTGGGCGGACCTGTTTTAATGGAGATGTTTACTATTTCAAATAAACTCTAGGGTAGAAGTGTTTCTTCCAAGATCTGGTCTCCTCTGAAGTTAGTTGAACAGAATTTCTATAATTGTTTACTGTAGCTCTGTTTGGTGGCTGCTGGTAATAAAATAAACAGCACAAAACCTCCTAATTGAACGAAAAATTACTTCTCTGCTGTTACTTTAAGTATTACAATAAATCCATTTACCACAATTAATTTATTTCTGGAGTGGTATAAATATTAGGGACCTATTTCTGTTAACATCTGCTTCTTAAAGACTGCAGTTCTCGAACACTTCATCTAGAATATAATTACATCTTTACTCTGAAAGAAAGGAAAGCCTTTTTATGTTACAGAGATTTTGTTAGGGTATGGTTTTAGCTGAAACTATCTTATCTATAAATAAATTTTAACTTTATTATTCCACAGTTATATTGGTATCCTCAATTTATTCTAGTCTTACAATAACTGCTGTGAGAGAACATAAAAAGATGTATCTATCTATGTGTCTATCCATATATAGATATATGTATATGCAACAGTGTGAAAAAACAGAGATAACTTTTGCAAATGAAGGAATCTTGTTATTCCTTTATGTTGAATCCCTTTATGATTTTCAAGTAAATTAACCCTTAGACTGAATGGCAACTCAGTCAAGCACACAATGTTTGATGTCATGGACCGTCTCCATTCTCTACAGAGTCAGTGCAATAGCCCCCCAAACCTCTTCTTATTAGTAGTTGAGCACTTTTGCTGGTATGTGATGTCTGCTATGATAGTCCCAGGTTGACCCTCTGTTTTTAATGCACTGAAGCCCACCACACCTCTGTGAGGCTGTAAGGTCCTGTCATCTCCATTTCCCAAACACAGTTCTGGGGTGTGGAGAGGTTAAGAACTAA